GTAAACCAAAAACTTTTCCTTCTTTTTCAACCACTCATTTTTCAAAAAAACACTATTCCACTTATTTTCATTTCTACAAAATTGGGGCCAAACGGGGGCTAAACCTACTTAGATGAAATTTAAGTCTACTTATCCTATTGCTGTTGTGTCCTTTTTCATATAAAACTTAAAAGCTTGAGGAAGCCATGGATATCATTGTCTAGGTTGCAACATTTTGCAGCTTTGGCGTATCTATTCTTACCTTACCTACGTATTATTTTTGCTAATAATTTTTCCTGACCTTTTCGTAAGATTTTTTCGCGCGATGACTTAACTATGGTACTGTCTTAATTGACATTTCTTTATCAACTATTTACAGGATCTGGAAAATATGGTGTAATTATTGTCGTCGTAGTTGTCGGGTATGGCTATATTTGGTGGAAGGTAATTATGTTATTCTTTATGGTCATGATTTAACATAACAGAAATTTGATTTTGCTCATTTAGCCCCATCAAGAAGTTATTGTATTGTCTCATTAAATAGTCACGTCTTCTTCAAGATGCACTTTAAGCTTGCTACTATGATTCTTAGTTTGAGTTTTAAATAAATTCCAGAGAAATATATCCAGGGCTCTCCATGATGACAAGTATGCAATATCATTTCATTTCAAATCTTGGAGACTTATCTTTAGAATATTCCTACCTAGAACTAGATACTTAAGCAGAGCTCTGTGGAGTTGTCTTTTTAATGTGGAAAGTAGAATAAAGCCTTGAAGTACACGTCTGCTGTTAGAATACTTATTGGTGTAAAAATCTTGCCTGTTCACACTGAGGATTTTGTTGGCCGATGGATGAAGAGCTTCATCTTGTTAGACAAGTGCCTACTTTGATATATGGATGACCTGACTACTTTTTAGTTTTTAGAGGCTATATGTTCAACTCTCGGAACACAGAATATGCTAATCCTATTCAATTTCTGCTGAACCTAAATAATGAACTCTGTGGGTTCTTTAATGTTCAAAACAGTTTTAAGAGAGATTATGTTTTGAAAATTCAATTTGATGTTCAGAACTTCACATTATTAGGTAAAAATTTTTTGCCTATCAAATACTTAAATGGTGACCACTCAATATACCAAGACAACCTTTTTCTCTATCGGAAAAAAGACGAAAATTAATGCTGAGATTGCCCCCATTATGTTCTTTTCCACATTATTGTTTTGTGAAATAAATATTAGATTTCTTGTATTCTAAGGTTCATATCTTAAGTTTCCGATCCTTCTTTGGATCTCTGTTTTGGCTGATTAGTGTCTTTTAAATTTTTATGTGGTTTCAGGGTTGGAAATTATCGGATATGATGTTTGCAACAAGGCGTGGCTTAAATGATGCATGCGCTTCTGTAGGCAAACAGCTTGAGGGTGTATACTCTTCGATTTCGGCAAGTTCACATTCAATAATTCGACTTTTCCTCATTTAAAATTTTTTCCGTTTTCTAATTTTACCTTGAAGATATATAGTGATACAGACTTGGCAGTATCTACGCATTATTCACAGTTGTATAATCTATCAAATTTACCAGTCGTTATATATTATATATTGTACTGACCCAGACCATCCTTCGGGTCAGTACAATATTGCTTCGTGTTATTATGCCCCTGTTTGGGGGCCAATATTTCCATTGTAAAGAGTTTTGAGTAGTATTTCTTTGGAGAATGTGTGGTTAAAAAGGAAAAGTTTTGGATTTATGTGAAGAATATTTTATTGTGTAAATGTGCGGTTAAAATTGATCTTGTAGAAAAAACAAAAAAGTTTTAAAACAATGGGAATCAAACAAGGGCTATATATTGCTAAGAAACAGTAACGTTAAAATAGATTATTTTCACTCTGTTGTGATGATTTTGATGTTGCTAGCTTGAAGTTTCGTTATCTCTTTGAATAAGTGGATGATTGACTATTGATAGTTTTTCTTCTCAATTGTTTATTTTACCTTCAATCATATAAAGTTTTCCAAGTAATATTAAGTTGATCGCTAAGTTTTATTTTAGTGCGTTAATAAATCAAACCATGCCTTCTCCAGTGATCTCAAAATTGACTTTCATATTCCAAGTTAATTTGGAGTAATTGATTTCCCAGGCCAAAAAAGATTTGTACTATCCACATAGCTTGGCTATTTTAGTGATGACATGGAGTAAATTATGTTGATTGAAGATTTGTAGAATCAATGCATTGTTACTATTTAGTGGTGACTTAAAATTGTTGAGCTATGTTGGTTTTTGGTTGTTTACCTTGCGGATTGCCTGATTTCCTTTCACTTCCGTCTTTGGGACTAAATTTTGCTTGTTCGAATTTAATAAGTGTGTGATTCTTATTTCTTTACACCTTTTTGTTGCTGGAGATGAGCCTACCTTGGTCTCTGCCTGGTGAATTTTATCGATCACTTATAAATGATCAAATTTCACTTTCAACTACAAATTTCAATGGATCTACTTGTACTATCCCCTTATCCGCCACTCATTTCAATATGTTAATATATTAAACCATTTATTATTTTTTTCCAAATAGAGGCTTGTATGAACAGAATTCAGCTGTTCAGCGCTGTTAATCCTAATCAGACTCTGTTATTGGTTATTGATGGTGTTTAGTCCACTAAGAAATGTTGCTAAAACATCTGTTTCGTGTCAGATGCATGTGGGTATTGTACTTGAAGAGTGCTAATGCGTCACTTATCTTCTTACCTTTTCAGGCCACTAAGCGGCATTTATCTTCAAGAATTGATCGTGTAGATTGTAAAATTGATGAGTGTGTGGATAATTCAACTGCTACTAAAGAGGAGGTTAGATATATCATTGGTGACTAGTTGTTCAATTTTTTTCCCTCCATTAGTCCAAGTATCCGCCAAGTCACCAATCATGTGATATATTGTATAGGTTTCTGAACTACGAGGAGAAGTGAAACTGATAGGTGCAGATGTCCAGTCAGTTCACCACGTAGTGCGATCTCTGGTGATTAGTCTCTACACTGCGTGTTCTCTCGCTTGTGTACTTTCATCTAATTTTTATGGTTTACTGTCAGATCCGATAAGAAACTAATTTTTTAAATTTCAATTTTGCAGGAGACAAAAATTAGTAGGATAGAGGGGAGACAGGTATTATTTGAGTTTAACCTCTGGAATTCTGTGGCTGCATCCATGCAGTTCTTTTTAACATCTTGTAATCTGTGTAGAATGAAACGAATTTTGGAGTTGGAAAGTTGGTTGGTTTTGTGAGGAATCTTGAAAGTAACAGACCTGTGGAGCAAATTGAGGCAAGAACAAAAACTTTATGCTCTTTTCTATTTAATTTTAGTGATAATTGTGGATTTCCTAAATTTTGTTCTTTGCAATCTGTAGGGAGCTGCTTCAAGTTCTTCTCGTCCTGCTCTTGAATTGCCGCAAGTGTCTTCATCATGGGTAGAATATTATCTTATGTCACTGCAAAATATTCGCTTAGCTATTCATGATAGGTTCCTATGTCATTCTACAACTCTTTTGGCAAACACTGTCATTATTTACTGATACAATAATGTAATCTTCCTCACCCAAGATAATCTCCGCACTTCCACCCCTACCCAAAAATAAAATATGAAAAGAAAAGAAATGAGAGAAGGCCTTGTAGGTCGTATTCTCTATATGCAGGACAGCCAACTCAAACTAAATGTAGGATGTAATTTCTATTTCTTTTCTTACTGTGTTTTTTACAGGCTGTTTCTTTACCTGCCAGTTCATCAATCGAACCACCTTCACCCTCAGACAGATCTAAAAAGGTTTGTGGACTTTGCATTCTACTTAGATTGTTATGGCATATGTACATAAGAGATTAATTTCCCTAGTTAGTTACAGGACAAGTGAAATGTCTATGAGACCTCTGTGATTCTTTTGTTACTTTCCTGTAATATATACCGTAATGCATTTTCATCCCTTGCATTATGTTGTTTTTCAAGCTAGTATCTCGGAATGGAAAGTTAAATGTGTGAAAAATCTGCTATTCTTTTGGTTACGTTGCTGTAATAACTGCTACTCTTGTATCAAATATAGAAAATTCTAGACATCTAAGGTCTGTTTTCCTGATTTCTGCTCAACAATCATTCATCTCCACTGAAGTATCATTATTTCTTTTCGGCACTTATTTATATTTCTTTTACAGCAACCTCTGCAAAATACAATCACTGCCTCAGGGTTGAAGGTAGTATCGTACTGCATTACAAATTTACATCCTTCATGTGCTTCTGCGTGGTTGGTGTCTAACCCATCAGTTCCCTCTTTTAGGATCTTTATGATATCTCAGATGGAGTCGGAGTGTCAAGCCTCAGCACCCCTGGGGTTTCAAACGGGGTTCATGCATCAGAAGATACGAACAACGAAATTCCCGGTCTGTTTGGGAGAACGTTTTCTGGCATCAGTGCCTCTTTCCTTGCAAGAAACCGCAGTGTGAAGCAGTCTTTTAAGTAGCCCGGCCAGTCTCAGCAACATACTTAAGATGTACTTTTTATTTAAGGTTAGCTGCAGCTAGTTGAGCTCACCCCTCGGACACAGGCAGTGCCTGGTCATATTTGTGGTTGCTGAATTTTGTAGAGACGTTTATGTTATAAAATTGCTCTAGGATATATGT